CAGACTGTGTGCACGTATCTCAAGGTTCAGGCAGGGGTCTTTCCTTCCCACTCCTGTCCAATTTGTTAATCAGAAATTCCAGCAAGGTGTTACTTCTGTATGTAATTTATCATCAAGGCATGGCTTCTTTCACCTCGATCTTTCTGGGATTAAATATCAATTTGTTTTCTACATCATCTCATAGCAGTTTTCAGACACAGGCTCAAAGAATTTGCTAGCACTCCTGCAGTTTGTGATGCACTCCTGAATAATGATACATAAATTTATATGTAATTAAAAAAAAACTAGCCACATTTCTCCAACATACAGCTATGCCTGGGTGTGCTTTTTTATGTACTGTCACATCACTTTCAGCATAGGGTAATGTCTTCCAAAAGGTCCTATCATTAACAACCCTGCAAATGTGCCTGGATTAAATAACTCATTTTAGAAGCGGTAGCTGTGTTAGTCTGTGCTAGCATATTACGCAAAACCAAAAGAAAAAGAAAAAATAAAGAAAAAAACATTGTGGAACCTTGAAGGTTAGCTGCTATATTTTAATATGAGCTTTTGTGGACAAGTCCACTTTCTCAGACATGTCTTATTTTTTTTACTTATTTTTAAATGGAAGTTGTTTCTTGAAGTTGTGTGGTCTAATCTGTGTAGTTTCGCTGTCTGAGGAAGTGGATTTGTCCACAAAAGCTCATATTAAAATATCGTGGTCTTTAAGATGCCACAGTGCTTTCGTTTTCTTTATTTTATTTTATTTTTGTTTTTGTTTGATATGGATTCAATAAAAATACTATGTTTTGTAGCTCCAGTCCTAATGTGTGCAAGAAGACCCACAGAGAGAAATAACCAGAGATGATCATATGTATTTCTCTCAAATGAGTTGCAGCCATCATCATCAGATCTTCAGTCCTTACACAAAGGTGGTATAACACGATCACTTAGAGAGCAGTTGCCTCAGATCACTTGGTTTAACAGAGCTCCTGCTGCCATCAAGGTTGACTCAAGGTATTCTGTTGTGTGAGGGGGGAAAATGTCAACATTACCTTATACTCCTCCCCCATTCAATGTACAGTGATGGCCAAAAATATTGGTACCCTTGCAATTCTGTCAGAAAATGCAACCCTTCTCTCAGAAAATTGTTGCAATTGCAAATGTTTTGGTACTCACATGTTCATTTCTTTGGTTTGCATTGGAACAACACAAAAAACAGAGAAGAAAAGTCAAATCTGATACACAGAAACCCAAAAATGCACTGGCCAAAATTACTGGCACCCTTAATATTTGGTCGCACCCCCATTGGAAAAAATAAGTTGTACAGTTCAAATGATAGCTATCTGTAGTGGAAAAAATAAGTTGTACTGTACAGTTCAAATGATAGCTATCTGTAGAAAATAAGCCTTGAAATTCAAGGTTTTGGTTTAATGTGATGGTATACTAACATGGCAGCCAAGAAGAAAAAGACCAGCAGTGACTCAACTCCTATTTCATGCAAAGAATGTCATTTTGGTTTTGATTTCTCATAGGTAAACATTTTAAAAGTTACTTTGACCATCCAAATGAGGTAAATCCCAGTTTTATTGCTTTCCACATACTGAAAGTGTCTGGAGAATGTGGTGTATATCAGAACTGCAAAGCAACACCATATTTTGTATCTAAAGTGTTGTGGGAAGGAGCAGCTGACGGTGTAATGGATGACAATCCTCCAAAGTAGTTATTCCATCTTCTAACATATTGTGCTTTTCAAGGAAACACATCTTCTGGTGGATTGAAGATTCTGACTGCAGCAGCGGCAATGCTGAGGAAGTGGGGATTCATTACTTTTCCATCCAGGAAAGAAAGAATCACCATGAGAGAAAAAGCCTTTTTCTTGGTCACTGCTCCATCTAGCTCCCTCCACACTGTATGTATTGACAGGCAACAAGCATCCAGAACTGCCTAGAGTGGTCTTAATCGACTAGATAGGCGGGATATAAAATAAATAAATAAATAAACCTCAGACAGGGCCTTGGTGGATATACCAGTGATCTTTGCATGAATGGCATGCACTTTGTCACATGTCACCTGTCTAAATTAAACCACCTCCTCCAGTGGCACTGCTGCAGTGTATTTCACACTCCTGGACATTAGACACAATAAATCTTCCATTTTTGGTGGGAGATTTAAGATGTTAGAAAAGGATAGCAAAGCAAGGTTGGACTTTAGTCAGAGTGAGGAAACTGCCTCAGGTGGTAGAGGGAGGAAAGCCACCTGATGCTACTTCTTTTTCCAATATTGTGACCAGGAATGAGGGGAGGGGGTTCTACTGGTTTTCTGCCTCATGTACCAAAATATCTTCACTGACTCTGAGTATGATGCACCTTGATATGTTGTGTGGGGGCACTTTCTTGATATGTTGTGTGGGGGCACTTTTGTTTTTCTCTTCTGCTTCAGATTGCAAAATGTCTTGGGTTGGCCCTGATGATATTTATGCAGGAACCTGTGACTTGATTTGGGCATTGATCTTTTAATTTTCCCAACCACTACTTGATTTATATATGTTTTGTAACCTATAAGCGGGAGTTTCGTACATTGGCTTTGATATCTAAATATCAGAAGGCCCCCGTTGCCCTATGCTGAATGGTTTCTTTGTTTCCACATTAGGAGACACATCATACATTAATGGTTTGAAATTGTCATATTCATGTCATTAACACTCATCCTTGATAATCTTTCTAGTGACTTCTGCAGAATGCCTGGCGGCTCAGATAAAACCCCTAGAAGGAGAACAGTGATGCTCTGAACTTAGCATGACCTCATCACTTCAGACGTGAGATTCACTGCGGAAGGAGGAAGACATCCTTCTCTCCAGCACACCCGCACTTTTTGAGATGCAATGGCTCTCATTAATCTTGAGGCTTTTAGTGCTTTTAAACATAGAAAGCTAGACTGTATTTTAAAAACACACATATTCATTATTTTGTAAAGAAAGCGAAAAGATTAAATCAAAAAAGTCAATGTCTTATTTACACAGAGCTTCTAACCAGAGCTTGGAAATATACAAATATTACATTTTAAACATGCATAAGGAATTCTAGGCGCTTTAATCCAAAAAAGCTTTTTTTTTCCTAAGCAGTGATCTTATTCTTAAATGAGAATTTCCTCAGTAATTATCTTTCATTCATATTTGTATCCAGACAATATTCTATATATGTATTTATTTAAAATTACCTCAGCTTTCTCCTTTAAAAGGACCCAAGGCAGCTTACATCATTAAAATATGATATTTAAAAGCTAAAAACAGCACATATACCAATGTTTAAAAAGAATCAAACAATTACCAGATTAAAAATGGTGGATAAAATCAACACTAAAAACACATTCGAAGCAATAAGGTACAGCACTCCATTTAAAACTCTTCTCAGATAGCCAGTCACTAAGGGAAAGACTGTTTGAATATTATCATCCAACATTATAATAAGCTTCCTGTGTTTTACCAGGTGCAACACTTACATATTTCCAAACTGTTTGTAAATAAGACATCATCTTTTGGGTGGAAGAACAGCGTAAACTTTGCAGGTACAAATGTAACCTTTTGTGCTGGGCACCATCTTTACCACTCATTTATTTTTTCTTATCATCTGTTAGGTGGTGCTAGGACATTTTTTAAGCTCTACCTGTAGATATCTAAATACATGAAAATAATAACAAAATGCCATTTACATAAGGGTGGCCAATGTATGGCTTTTAAGGTTGCCAATTCAGCAGCATCCCATTCTCAGAAAGTTCAGGCCCCAAACCTGAGGGCTTGGGGTGGGTCACTGTGATGGGACTGAGTTCACGCAGTCAAGAATTGGGAAGGCATAGATGCTTCTCAGTCAACCAGGCATGAAGGACAATGTGCTCAGAATTTGGGTAAACCTGAATAACCAGGTGATATGGCAACCAAGAGCCGGAGGGGCATCCCAGACAGCAGCAGTTGCCACTTCCCAAAGCCTCACAATCTTCTAGGCCTTATCTAGAGCAAATGTGCTAATACAGGTTTGTTTTTTTTAACAGACTGCTGTTGCTGAGGCTTTTGAAAGGTTCATTGCCACCTTATTTGGGGAGAATTTTTCCAGATCCTGTACTTTGCATTGAGTAGTACCACAAGACGTCTCACAAGTAGTGATCGCTGGTTTTCCAATGGACCTTTAGCCAGCTTTTAAAGAGCACTTTCTGGGAGGGGCTGCTTTGGGGGGAGGGGCTGTAACCTGGATGTCACAAATTTAATTGTTTTCAAACATGTAGGAGGTTGGGAGACGATTCGATGTGAGTTTGGCATCTCTAACTTGTGCAGGAGCTGTTCCAGCACTCCTAGAAGTTCTGAACTGCATGAACCATGAAAAAGTTCCTTTTGTCAGAAAGGTCGTGAAAGTCCATGGTTCATGGTTCTTGAAGAGCCATGAACCACAAACCATCACAAACCACTGTTTTTACAGTTTGTGCCCATTTCTAGCATGAATCAACATGATTACAACAACATTTTGCCAATGATGTCCGTTGCACAGCAAAACCATAACTCAGTGGCACACAATTTGCTGGCAGGAGATTCCAGGTTCAAACCAAGGAATTTCCACATAAGGCTAGGAAAAATCTCTGCCTCTAACCCTAGCAAACTATTGCTAGGCACTGTATGTCACACTTGAATAAATGGGTGATCTGAATTGGTACAAGGCAGCTTCCCCTATGCTAAGAAGAAGTAATCAATCTATCAATTAAGTAGCAATGATTTGAGAAGCAGCATATAAACTTCACACACAAACATTATGAGTGAGCAATTAATTTCAGTTCCACTTCTGCCCCAGCCATAAAAATCCAAAAGAACATTTAAAAACTGGTGCCACTTTTGCTTTCATATTTGCATTAATATTTTCCAAAATAGTAGCAAAGCATTATTATTCGTTATGCCAAGCAAGTCCTCTATTTAATTATTATTCAACAAGGCACATGTTTAAAGGAACGCTGCTTATTGATCCAAGGAAAACAATTAAACTGAAATAAAGGTATTTAAGCCATTTGGCAAACTAAATGTATAAATAAATACCTTAAATTTATAGTCAGCCTTTCCTTCTAGAAGGAAACCAAATTTGCTTTGGCAACAGCTAAACAAATCTCTTTTTTGTCTTCCACTACCACTATTTAGGTGGGAAAGCTTCTTGGAAAAGTACATAGGGGGAGGACTGAGGGCTTTACAATTATTCTATTACCTAGAAATTGGAAATACTCCTGCTGTAGACCAGCCATTTTCAGTGGAGGCCCTGGCACATTTGAAGAGGGCCACAGACTGGAAACAAATCTTCACACACCACTTTATAAAGTCTGTTATGCAATTTATACAATCCTGATTCAGCCTACATATCTTTCATATTGTGCTTATGACCATGGCCAAAAAAGCTGAAAATGGCTGCTTTAGACTGCTGGGTTGTAGTAAAAAAAAGACCACACCAACCTCTTCTCCCTACTCACCCTATCCTGCCTCTAGCCTTATGACCATGGCCAAAAAAGCTGAAAATGGCTGCTTTAGACTGCTGAGTTGTAGTAAAAAAAGACCACACCAACCTCTTCTCCCTACTCACCCTATCCTGCCTCTAGCTCTACTTCAACACTACATTGAAGTCAGCCCTCTCCCCCGCACAGATTGGTCATGCTGTGGAGTAAGTTCCTTTTTATCTCCCCATCCCTCCTGAGGCCATTCTAAACTCATTTTCATTATCTTGCTCATCTGAAATGGCCCTAGAGTTATGCCTTATGAAGAAAGGGTCTTGACTTTATACGTCAACCCATTTCTAATCCCCCTTTACCATATGGAGTTGGTCCTGTGGCCAAGAGCATCTGTAGGAAATTAGGGGTGCGTGCAGCAAAGCTACATAGTGGTTTGATGCACTACTACAACACATTACAGTCAACCCTTGACTTACAAACAGCCCTAGTTACAAACATTTCGACTTACAAACCGCTCTGATAGAAAAATATTGACTCGACTAGCAAACTTAGATTTGAGTTACGAACCGAAAAAAAACACACACGGAAGGTGGAGGAAAGCGCAAAATTTGAACTTTCAGTTAACCGTTGACCAGTGAAGAGGGTGCCTGCCTGCTTCCTCGCCCATCCCAGCGTTTTGAGAGTGGATTTGGAAACAGTCTTCAGACTGCCTGGTATTGCCTGGTATTGCCTGGTACAGTGCTGTACGGACTGTATTTTTAATTTTTTGCTTTTTAAAAATTTTTTGATTATTGGATTTTTAAAAGGTGTTCCCTCCCTCCTTTGCTGCCCCCCTTTTTCCCAAAAGGTGCTTGTATTGGCTTGTCTTGATTGAAAAGGGGCTTTTCAAGGTGATCTGTTGTCTGAAAGGTGCTTGGTTTTTCCCAGAAGGTGCTTGTCTCGGCTGAAAAGGTGATTTTCAAGGTGTTCTGTTGAAAAGGTGTCTGTTCCCTCCTTCCCTCCTTCTTTTCTTTCATTTTTTTAACCTAAGTCATATTAGTCCCCTAGTGGTAGGAACGGATTAACTGGTTTTGCATTAGTTCCTGTGGAAACGAAGGATTCAAGTTACAAACCACCCCTCGACCTAAGAACCAAAAACAGCCAGAACGGATTAATTGGTTTTCAGTGTATTCCTATGGGAAATGCTGATTTTCGACTTACAAACTTCCTTCTGGAACTGTTTAAGTTTGTAAGACGGATTAAGTTTGTAAGCTTTAGCCCTATTGTAGAACTCTGTGGTCAGAGATTGTGATAATGTCCTCAGCCGCAGACATTAATTTTTAATTTAAAATTTACTATCACCCCGCCCCCAACTCCAGGTTCAGATGCTCCCTAAGGAGTCCTTCCAAATGGGGGAAGCCCTTAACATCTGAAAATCACTACCACTAGTCCCTCTGAGGCTCACTAAGTCTTCCCCAGTGAGGGATTCCTAGTGAGTCTGGAACCTGAGAGTGGGACAGGAAACTTTAAACTAAAAATGATTATGGCATCACTATTTATGACTGTGCAACTCTGCCAGCAGAATTCCAGCCAATGGGACAGTCTATGTACCTTAAAATACTAAACATATTTAGGCCTTGGGGGGGTGAATGGACCCCACAGATACCTATGCAAGTGGTGACATAGTTGCACTGCTCTTGTATGAGCCCTCTGTTTGTTGGATATACATTCTACATATTGCAGACAATATATATTTTTTTTTAAAAAAAGAGAGTTTGTTTTCCTGCCAGCAGTGAGTCCATGGCACAGTCACTGCTACTGTGAATGGCTACTATGTATAGTTTACAATAGAGATGGGGATGACTCACCATTTTGGCAAGTTGTTCTGCTTCTTGATTTGTCAAATTTGACAAAGCACAAAGCTCCCCCCATCAACTGACGAAGCATGAATTTATTTGTAAATTTGTGGGGGGGTTTACTAAAAAACAGACTCCCTGCCATGACGCCCCCCCCGTGCTGCCGACGCTTCCCCTCTGTAATCGCTGCCACTGCTCATGCCATCTCCAGCTGGCCTGTGCAGCCATGGCCTGTAGAAAGGGACACCGACGGCCCTTTGCAAAGATGGTGGCTGCAGCTTCATTTAGGGCAGGGAATTCCATTAAGGCAGGATAAGGGAATCCAGGCTGCCCTTTGCAAATATGGCAGCTTCAGCTTCCCTACTCTAAATGAAGCCGTAGCTGCCATCTTTGCAAAGGGCCACCAGTGTCCCTTTCTACAGGCCATGGCTGCGGATGGCAGCTGAAGACGGTATCAGCTTTGGCTGCGATTACAGAGGGGGACATTGGTGTGGCAGCGGGGGGGGGGAGCAGTGGCAGGGGGCAGCAGCTAAGGTAGGGAGGGGCAGAGGATAGGCTGTGGGGTGGGTGGCTGTGGGGGTGGGTGGTTGC